GAGGGGGCTTGGAGGGGATCGTTGAAAGGGACGACTAGTATTCCGTTCTATTTCCTTTTGGGTAACGAGAGTGAAAGAAAGAAGGAGTGTGTGTGGAGAAGTGAGGACAGATGAGGGTAACCGGAGAATGGGAGAGCGCAACATGTGTGTGAGTTGTACTGTAGCTGATGAGGATCATAACAGCAAATAAAAGAGGAGAGGGGAGAGAGAAAATGCGCCTGATAGTTGTTTTCAGAGCCGTTAACCTCTCTAGAGAAGTCTGATTCCCTTGGACGGCTTGTTAATTGGCACTCTCAAAAGTTTCCCTCTCTGGCTGGTGATGTTACCAATGAAAATGTCTTGGCTGTGTTGAATGGCTCTCCAGGTCCCTTGTATAACCCAGGATGTAGAATAGGTTTTCCCTACCCTCACTGGGAGTCACTGAAGAGTAAACCCCAATGCCTCGTCTGCAAGCCTCAGTGTCTGGCGGTCGTGGGCTCCGTGCCTGCGGTGGGTCGGCCGGTCCCTGCGCCGTGCGCCACGCGGCGCTCGGTGGCGCCACGTGCCGAAGCAGAGGGGGTTGATCGCGTCCGGGGCACACGTGGGCGTCATTGGACCACACATAGAGAAAGAAGACATTTGTTGTCCTATAGGATGTAAAACCTTCAGTCGTTTTTGTGTAGCGTACGATTTTATGCTTCCCTGTCACAAGTCCGGTTCCGGAAAGCACTCTGCATTAACGTTGTATTCGAGTCGCCTTCTTTCCATCGTATTTGTTTACACGCACAGTTTACGGGTTGGCTGCTGTTTCGTCAGGTCGTGTGCTCCGCAAATCAGATAGGTGTCATTTCATGTTGACCCTCTTTTTTCCTTTGGCCCCCATTGCCCCAACTCCAAAATGCCCAAAGGGAAATGTTGTTTGTTTTAAACCTGTGCGCGGGTGGTTTCGAGAAATACAGAGGCATGAATTTGCTCTCTGTGGCAGATTTTCTGATTTGTTCTTTGTCATATTTATTGTCCGGGATTCTCGTCTCTTTTACTTGACCACTTTCAACATCTCTACACGTTGTCAGACTGTGGTCTTAGCCAGCTGCTGGCCTCGTCTCCTTCCGCCACACGGGCTTATGGTTTTCTCCTATGCAGGAAAAGACAGTCAATTGTAACAAGATGCTGGGCGGGGGCAGGACCAGTGAAACGGACTGGCTTGGATTCTTGACAAATAGGCAGTTCTGGAGACTGATTGCTAGCAGGGGAAGTGATTAATGTAAGACCTTAGTTGAGAAGGGAAATCAAGAGAGTGGCTCGCCTCGGTAATATTGCCAGAACACAAAAAATACAACAGATCTGGAGAGTTCAAAATCTGTCTACTCTTCATACTGTACCGCCCAGCAGTTCAGCACTACGTGGCGTTCAAGCATTGAACTGAGGTTCACCTGATTTTTCTGATAATATTAACTAGACTCCCCTTGCTTGCTCTCTCTTGATGTTTAAGTTTCCTTTAAAAAAAAAAAAAAAAATAAAGAACTCTTATGTCCAACACAACGACATGTTTGAATTTTAGTCATAGGTGACTGATACCATTCATGTACAGTAAAATAACGCTCAAAAGAAGCTGGAGGAATATAAGGGATCGGGATGAACTGACTTCTAAAAACCAATTGGCAAGCAAAACAATCAAACTCAATCAACGCGGGTCAGTGCAGATGCCAGAAAAACAACAACTGTTCTGTTTAGTTGGTTCATCAAATTATTTAATTGTTGAACGTCAGAAGATCCAAACCGCATGAAAACACACAACCCTACGCATAAAGTAATCAGTCAGTGTGTCTTGAGTTCGACAGTTGCTGACCAACGCGGTGTGTTAACCAACACTCGCGCCTTGCATATACAGCCCAACTCAGACACATAAGACATGGGGCCAAACAGCACGTCCCATATCTGGTGGCACAAAAAAGAGCCCAAAACAGCGCGCTGTCAAATAATTATCGGTATCCATGATCTTTTGATGAGAGGGATCGGGTCAATTTCTATAATCGATGCTTCGTTCAGGTTTTCGTTTTATCTTTGGATAGGATACAAACTACCTAAACACTCTTTTGGAAGCCACGTGTTACCAATTCTCACCAAAACTCCTGTTATGGCACAATGTCGTTTTATTTGTGTTTATAGTAAGGCGAACACGAGAGGGCGTTTCAAGTTTCGAAACGAGAAGAAAGGAGGAAGAGACAGAGGAAGACCACACTGCCTCATGTGGCAAGAACAGCCAACACATGACAACAGTGAGAGCGAGTGTCGGCTGTCTACCGGAGAAGTGGTGACGAGAGAGACAGAGGTGGAGAGATGCCTCAGCGGTTTCCGCAAAGAAAATACTAGTTGCTCTGGTTTGATTGCCAAACTCAGAAGTTGAGCAATAAACCCAATAGCGATATTT